ACACACACACACACACATACACTGTACAAAAACATGAGGAACGTCCTAAAATAGAGAAATAGTTTTGAACTCTGACTTTATTAAATAAAAGAATCCCAGAGGAGCTTTTGTCTGACTTTAGACACATTTCCAGTAAAAAAAACCCTCCAAACAAAAAGAACTGTGACAGAGTTAAACACAGAGAAGTTATTTATATTTAACCTGAAAGTGCGCAGCTGCTGGGTCTGTTCGTCGACATCATCTTCCTCGGTCAGGCCTTCATCGCCATGCTGGTGTACGTCTGGAGTAAACGACACCCGCTGACGCCCATCAGCTTCTTGGGCCTGCTGAGCTTCCGGGCGCCGCTGCTGCCCTGGGTGCTGACTGGAGGCTCGCTGCTGCTCGGGAACGCTGTCCTGGTCGACCTCCTGGGTGAGAAGCTGAACTCTGACGCAGTATTTTTATACTTTTAAAAACATTTTGTTATCCAGCGTCGTTTATTTCAGGCATCGCCGTCGGTCACGTCTATTATTACTTAGAGGACGTGTTTCCCAACCGGCCGGGAGGAAGGAAGCTGCTGACCACACCAGAGCTGCTGTAAGAACCACAGCTTTAAATGTTTTTTACAGCACCTTAGTTTTATTTCTTTTACTTTAATGTTTGTTTTAACAGACGGCTGATGTTTGACGACGACGAACGTAACGAGGAGTGACACAACTGAAGGAAAGCTCAGGAGAAATCAGCAAATCTGAAGCTCAGTTCAGGTGGAAGGACTCTTTTACTACTGTGTAGATGAAAAACTGGTTTTAAAATGCCTGTGACATCAATTTTTTGTAATACACATGAACGCATTTTTTTTTGGAAAGAAGACAATAACATGTTGCAAAACAAATTTCACGTCGCTCAGATGAACGGTTGTTGAGATATTGGCACGTGAAGAAACAGGAAGTGATGTCAAAGGGGAATGTCAGCAAGTAAACAGACCGTTGTTAAAAAAGCTAACAGTCTGTAGAAAAGAATCATGTTTCTTTAAATTATTTTTAGTCACCATCAGAGAGACAAAGAAGAGTTAAAGTTTAAATAATTTTGTTTTAATAAACAAAAACCAGCGAGTTTATTTTATTAATGAGTTCCCCTTTGAAGTCACTTCCTGTTTCACTTCGGCTGAGTCAAATTTTAAAGAAAATAGGCCAGTTATGTGACAGTGGGTAAAATTATGGGTACTATGACAATTTTCTTAAGTATAAAGATAGTTTCTTTGACTTTCTGTATTTGAAGGACAGGCCTGTCACAGGCACTTTAACATTTAAATGTAATGATAAATTAGATTTACCTGAAAAATATTTTAAATGCAAAAAACGAGGGAGAACCTGCTGGTAATGTAAACAAAATCAGGGTTCCTACAGCTTAAAGCAAGTTAAATTTAAAACGTCTTTAACGTCACTTCAAATGAAATTTAAGTTCCCAGTTAGCAACAGTTTTACCCAAAATGTTTATTTTAACACAAAACGAGCTGCGAGAAGCATTTTGTAAATGATTAAAATATAAATGTTACCAATCATTTTAATATTTGAGATGAATTACAGTCATCATACTTACAATATGTTAGACCTCTGAAAGATTAAGACATTTTAATGCTATTTAATGTCTTATTTTTGGATCGATGGATTCGATGCCTTTTAAGACTTCAGTGATTCGCATTAAACGATGTGTGAAAAGATTTACGTTTTCTGATGTTAAATTCTGCTCGACTTTGAGGATCAACATCAAACCGGGTTTCCTGCGAGTCGGTGAAAGGAGCAACCAGAAGCCTGAAAAGCCCAGCAGCTCTGCTCACGCTGCACTTTCACCCGCTGCTTTTGTGGCTCCAAACAGTCGCAGCAGAAAGGAAAATGCTTATCACAACAACACGCAAACAGCCCCCTGACAACAGGCCTGAGCCGGACCACCCAGCACTCGGGGTCCGAAGAGACCATTAGTTTCTTTGAATCATTTAGAGAAACTTAAAAGATGAGCTAATTTGACTTTTTGGCCAAGTTTTCTCCTTTAATTTCTTAGAATCCAGTCCAAACACCTGCAACAGCTGTTGAGTAAATTGTTTAAATGACGCTTTGTTTTTAAAGCAACAACTGGAATTGAACTGTTTAATCTGACAGCAAGTCAAGTTCTTTCATATTTTTATTTTGTAAGAATTATTAAAATGTACAAAAAGGACATCAAATACAACAAATCAATATATTATCTGAGATTGGTGTGTTTTTTTCCCACCTCTGGTCGGGTAAAGAGTCAGTGGTCAAAGAGAGCAGCTTCTCAGAGGGTTTTATGGAGGCGGAGCTAACAAACAAAACGTAACAAAAATAAAAACGGACCAGAAGAGACGTCCGGCGCACAGCGGAGGGAAAAAAAGTCTGTGCTGCTGTTCTGAGCCGTCCGTCCTGCAGGGGGCGCTGGTTTTACCACGCTGGTGCCGTGTTGGCCAGACGCCTCATCCGCCTGTAGAGCAAACAGGAAGTGGTCATCGCTCAGAACAGGTGTAGATGATCCCTGGTTAATTATTACTGGTAAATAATAAAGGCACGACGGTGCCGGGGCTCACCTCGTGTTTCTGTCCTGGTCTCTGATCTTCTTCTCCATCTCTGCGTCTGTCAGGGTCTCCAGCAGGGGGCACCACTGGTCGGCATCGCCCGTGTTTCTGATGGCGATCTCCACCGTGGGCAGAGGGTTCTCGCTGCAGAAACACCAAACGTTTGTTTAGTTTGCAGCGTCATACTCGAGACCACAACTGGATCAGTGAACTGATAGAATATCGTCCAGTTTGTTGTTTGGATGAGAAATGTTCTGATTCAAATCCAGATATTAGCAAAGCTAGCTGATGTTAGCAATCTGCCTCTGTACCAAAACTCTTTACTTGGAGATTTAAAACATTACAGCACGCACTGCTAAATAAATACAAATCTGCAGCACGTGAGGACGGTTCTGTCCTGCCTGAGACCAGTGTGGGGCGCAGGTCTTAGTCTTGACTTGGTCTCAGTTTTTAAAGAGGGGGTACTGTGTGTTTTCCAGGATAATAATTCAATTCTATACCACAATCAACTATGTTACCTTCAGCTGTTCTTAAAAAAATGTATGGATCAAACATAAATTTGATTTTGCATCTAAACACATTGAAATTGGCCTCTGTCTCTTTTAAGAACCTCCTACCATTTCTGACACTCCCACTTCAGCACGTCTTCGCAACGATGCTTCAGGGGAGGGGTGCTGTATAGGGCAGGAGCTCAGCTGCAGACTGAGCCCCAGGGAGGATGTGTGTAAATAGGCGGAGCTTATTTTAATAAACGGGCGGAGCTTTTTTTTTACCAGCAAGTGTTTAGGCAGCCACACATGGCTAACACACAGCGTTCAAGGATTTCTCAAACATCCATGAATGAGTCAAAGAGACACAGTTTATGATGAATAAATGATAATAAAACATGATATAAAACTTAAAAAAAAAAAAGTAAAATTGGTGTAACACCCCTCCTTTAAAAGTCTTGGTCTTGATACCAGGGTTATTATAGTTATTAAAACTAAATAAATACCAAAAACTGAAATTGAAAAAACATTTTAGTTAACTAAAATAAATAAAAACTGTAATAAAATAAAATAAAAACTAAAACTTTTAAATTTTTTTTACAAAACTCACTAAAATCATAGATATAATATACTTAGTTTTAGTGTTTTTCAATTTATTTTGAGCCATGTGAATCTTATTTATTTATTCATTTTTTACAAATCAAGTAGTTTCACATTAGCTGTAGTCTGTAACAACACTTGTTTACTGTCTGCTGCTGCTCAGCATCATCTGCTAAATGATGACAACAAAAAGTTGGGAGAAAGCAGCAACACTTTGAGATTTCTTTGAATATGACAGAAAAATAAAATCAAGTGTTTTGTAGTGGAAACAGGTGATAAAACAGGAGGAATACTTCTCAAGGGAAAAACTGCATGAATCAAACTCACACAAGATGCTAACTATGACTATCTTGACACGTTAGCTTCTCTCAGTAGCTCCCGTGAAAAACAATCAACAGGTAGCAGCAGGTTGGAGACAAATATTATCGTCGTCCTAAAATAATCGTCCAAGATTTTAGTTTGCAAAAAGGAATTACACAATTATTTTAGGAAGGTGTTGCTATAATGGACGCTTTAACTAGTGACCAAATAACTGTTAGTTAACTCACAGGAACATCACAAGCTGGAGGATGCATTGGTAAATATGTTTATTTAACTTATTTTAAAAAACTAATACTAGAACTAATAAAAACTAAGCATTAAAAATGCAATAATAACTAATAAAAACTAGCAAATCCACTGTAAAAACTAATTAAAACTGAATTAAAAGAAAAAAGCCACAACGAAATAAAACTAAATTATAATGAAAAATCCAAAACTATTCTAACCTTGCTTGATCCACTCTGGTTAGGTGGTGTTGACTGCAGCACTACAGTATTTATCAGACTGATTTTCATTCATTTTAAAAACATGATCATTCTGACAGCGTAAACGCTTCAGTGAGGCCTCTCTCTGACATCATCCTTCAAAACAAACAAAACATTTGTTCCACTCAGACGTCCAGCTGTGACACAGACCAGCTGTGCAGAAACAACAGAATTGTCTTCAGCTTCAGGATGTAAAAAATAAAAAATAAGGATCGACTGATTTAAACAGACGTGTGTCAAACAGGAAGTCGAAGGTCGCAGACACATCACCACAGCAACAAACAAAAACACAACATTTCCACACAGAAGCAGCTCTTTTGAACAGTTTTCTAGAACAGAACCAGACCCCAGCGTGTGGAATGAGCCCGGAGGTTCTGTACCTGAAGGCGTACGTCCTCTGGTGCCAGCTCAGCTGACCTCGGATGCTGTAGGCGATGGTGGTGACGAACTCTCCGCCCAGGCCCAGCTCAGAGCAGAGCTTCAGGGCGAACTTCTCAGGCGAGTTCTCCCTCTCTGACATGTCCCACTCGAACTGGTCCACCAGTGAGATGTTCCCCACGTGGATGTTGAGCTGCAACACATTCAGGATTCATTCATTTATGACTGAGCTGCACTCAAGAGACTGAAACTGGCTGCAGCGCAGCGGCACCTTGATGATGACCCTCTGGTCCGCCTGGTCCTCCAGGATGCTGTCTGTCGGGTACGACTCGATCTGCTGCCGGATGGCCGAGGCGATGGCGGGAACGAAGGCCAGCGGGTTCAGGTCCAGGTCGTCGCACAGAATCTCAGCGAACATCTCGGGCGTCATCAGCTTCTCTGAACGTTTAAATAGTCAATTTATTCATTTCATTTTAAAAAACAAAACAAATACAACAAATGTGACGCGTCACATAGAAACAAGGATTAAGTCTGAAAGTGGGACATGGAGAAACAGGCAAACAGTGTTTTGATTAAAACATTAACAAAAATTGAATTTCTTCAAAATATAACAAATAAATGCCTTATCAGCGTTTCATTTCAATGAACTGTGTGAAATATAAATCATAAAAAAAATTTGAAACACTTTTTTGAGCAGTAGCAACAAAAAATAAAAATGATTTTGAGGAAAAATCCCTCTAAATTTTGAGATTTTCCCTGTGAGTTAGCAAAATTTTTGTTTCTTTTCAGCTGGAAAATGTTAATATTTAATTAAATGCTATTTGAGATTTCCTCTTCATACTGAAATTAAAAATTCCTCATTAAAATTACACAAAATTAGGATTCAGACCAAATATTAATGTATTATCGTAACCAACAAGACAAATTACAGCATATCTCTGGTTCCGTTTATGATATCAGAATGATCCAGGTATCTAAATGTAGCTTTTAACGCAGGAATCTGAAAATGTTATTAGGTCATTTTGACCAAATTTGACTTAGCACCTCTCATGTGTGGAGTACCTCAGGGCTCTATACTTGGCCCTCTTCTTTTTTCCATTTATTTACTCCCACTAGGATCTATTCTCCGGAAACATGGTGTCCCATTCCATTTTTATGCTGATGACACCCAAATGTATTTTCCACTGAAGCAGGAAAATCAATATTCTGTGAACCAACTCCTGGAATGTTTGGCAGAAGTCAGAGCATGTCACTGAATTTTTTTACATTTCAATGAACTAAAGACAGAGGTTGTGTTGTTTAAGTCCAGTGACAGCTCTAAAGTCCAAGTTGATCTTGGTCCTTTAGCACAACAAACTGGACAATGATTTTAAACTAGATGTTCAGATTAAATCTGTGATCAAGTCCAGCTTTTATCACCTGAGACAACTGGCCAAGGTCAAACCATTTCTTTCTCATCATCATTTTGAAATCTTGATCCATGCTTTTATCACAACTCGCTTAGACTACTGCAATGCACTTTATGTCGGGCTGAGCCAGTCGTTACTGACTCGACTGGTTCAGAACGCTGCCGCTCGCCTTTTAACTGGTACCAGTAAACGAGATCACATCACTCCTGTTTTACAATCACTACATAGGCTCCCAGTTCGTTTCCAGATTACTTTTAAAGTTTTACTGTTTGCTTTTAAATGTCTTCATGATCTCACCCCAACGTATCTATCTGCGCTGCTCCACCCTTACACTCCCTCTCGTGTCCTCAGGTCAGCAGATCACTTCCTGTTGGTCGTCGCTAAATCTAAGAGGAGGCTGAGAGGTGATGGAGCGTTTTCAGTCGCTGCCCCTAAACTGTGGAATGAGCTGCCTTTACACATCAGACAGGCTGACTCACTTCCTGTTTTTAAATCAGCTCTTAAAACACAGTTTTTACTCCTTGGCTTTTAACTTAGTTTGAGATGTTGGCTTTAATGTTTTTGTTTTTAGATATTGGCTCATTTTACTTAGTTTATTGTTTTGTGTAAGTTTTACGTGTTTTTAATCATGTACAGCACTTTGGCCAATGGGGTTGTTTTAAAGCGCTTTACAAATAAAAATGTATTGTATTAATCCTCATTTAAATTTGATGGGTCACAAATAATACAAATCACAAATAAAATGAAAGGTAGCAGAAAGAAGAAAAAAAATCTTATTACCATCTGCCCCTTTTTTTTTCCAAAAATAAATAAATTCAAACAATAATAATCTTCAAATGACAAAACATAAAAAACTTCAACTCCTTCTTGAACAACAGTTCTTATTTATGCACATTATACAAATTCCTATTTCTTTAACACTAAATCATTCTCTTAAATACATTTATTGAGCATTTTTATTACTTTCCTTATTCCTTGAACTGAAATAAATCGATCCTTCAAATTTGTTCTAATTTTAGGCTTTACAAACATTAAGATTATAATTTCTTTCTCTCTTAACAAAATTTAATTGAATATTAATACATTTTTATCAGCCTTATACCTGCAAAATATTATCATCAACCAATTCGTAAACTTTTTATAATTTCAACTGATAAAATAATATCTTTGATGGGTGACTGTAATGTTTTCTGGTGATAATTCTCGCGTTACAAAAAAACACGAAAAAAGTTAACTTTTTACGACTAAATGTATTAAAACAAGTTGAGGGAGGCTACCGTTCATGTTCCAGGTGAAAGCATCTCGGAGTTTCTGACCCTCGATCTCCATGTCCAGACGGATCGGGACGAGAACTTCAGGCTGAGTGGCGTTTTCGTGGATTACTGCAGGATCGTGATCGTCAAAGCTGGGAAACACAAGAAAAACTGCTTGTAGGCTCGGGCTGAACCATTTTAGAAAATAAACTAATTGTGATTTTTTTTATCTATAAATTGTGATTTAATATGCGATTATTATTTTTTTACGTCTTCAAGTATTTTTCAACAAACAAGCAATAAATCAATCTGTTTTATAATAAACAAAATATGATTTATTTAAAGCACAGATTACAACGAAGCAAACAAATCTTTGATTTAACCTTTTCACCATTTCACCCATGTTAAGTGAACTTCCTAACCACTGTCTGAGGACAGTCTATAAATAAATGGAAAAATATATAAATGTAAAAAGAATAAAGCTTTCCAGCCAGTAACATCATGAAAAAAATAAAGTGCAAAAAAAATGAAGAATCTCGTTATTTTGTAGGTAAATCAAACTCATGTCACTAGATGACATCATCACCTAATATGTTTGTCAGTAACTGTGATCTATAGGAGAGATGTTAAAGAGAAAACAAGAGAAGAAAAACACTAAATATGTTTAAAACTGCAATTAAACTTAATGAAATAAAAAATAACTTTATGACTTTAATGCTTAGATCCACATTATATAAATTAAATTAGTGATAATCTTTAACCTGCAGACTGTTAGATGTCACGAGACAGGGAGGGGGTGAAGCAGTGATTTAACCCTATAAATACCACAGAGGGAAGGTCCTCTTCTTGTCCCGGCCCAGTCGGCTGCGGTTGATGGTGGTGGAGCAGGGCACGGCGTCCAGGTGGTGGGAACTGTTGGGCAGCGTGGGAACCCACTGACTGTTCCTCTTTGCCTTCTGTTCCCTGAAGGGGACAGACCAGGTGTTTCTCTTTGTTATCCAAAGCACTAAAGTCGTTCGTTCCAACGGGCCTCCTTTAATAGCGTTTACTGCAGGGTGTACCTGAGGTAGGCGGGGGGCTCGGTGCTGATGGACACAGCTTTGTACTTCTCATCGTTTCCATCGAGGATCTCCTCGACCTCCGAGGCTTTCAGCAGCGTCACACTGGTGGCGAGCTGAGTGTAACCGTGATCTGGATGACAAAGACAACACGTGAAACAAAGTACAAGGCCAAAAAGAAAAAAACTGTATAGGTCCTCTGGACGGGTTCTTCTCTAATGAAACGTTTCGTCTCTCCTCCAAGAGACTTCTTCAGTCTGAGAGTTTCAGGCAAAATTCAGGCTTTTAAGCCCTGCCTCCATGTGACTGATACTCACATCACATGGCTATCGTTGACACCTAATTAACRCCTATTGTTAACAGGGGGTGGAGTGATACTGGCAATGGCAGCGCAGTAGGAGGGGGACAACTGAAAACGGAGGCCTCCACCTCTGTTTAATGATGGACGGTCTTTCTTTACAAAAATGTCTTCTTTTACTCCTCTCTCAAACCAACGTTCCTCTTTATCAAGAATGAGAACATCCTCATCTCTGAAAGAGTGACCGCTGGCCTGTAAATGAGTGAAAACTGCAGAGTTCTGGCCATTAGATGTAGCTCGTCTGTGTTGGGACATTCTTTTGAACAGTGGTTGCTTTGTTTCCACGATGTATAACTGGTCGCAGTCCTCCTGGCACTTAACAGCATATACAAYWTTGCTCTGTTTGTGCCGGGGCACCGGATCTTTGGGGTGAACCAGCCTTTGTGTTTTGGGGTTTGAAAGCTACTGGGACATCATGTTTAGAAAATAAACGTCTCAGTTTCTCCGAAACACCCGCAACATACGGAATAACCACTGGTTTGGGTCTGGGGTCTTCATTTTCACCTGAAAAAGTCTCTTGGAGAAGAGACAAAACGTTTCATTAGAGAAGAACCCGTCCAGAAGACCTATACAATTTTTTTCTTTTTGATTTTTTACCTGGATTACTGAGACGCATCAGGACAAAGTACAAGGCCGCTCAGCTTTTTAACACAATTATTCTAACACTAAACTGAAACCAAAACATGTAACCATCTATAAGATTAGTCTCAGCTGTTTGTGACGTGCTCTACTGACCGTGTGACGACTCCACTATTTTCTTCCTTTCTTCCACCGTTGCTAGTTTTCTCCATAATGACGGATACCGTTTATACAAGGAGCCTCTAAACATACGAAGGTAGTTTCCCACCTGAACACACAAAGATAAAGAACACAGGATAAACATTTGGAAGGACTGCTGCAGCTAAACACGTGTGTGATAAATAAAACATTTTAACTGATATTTAGTTTTACTGGTTGTGATTGGGTTTTTTTTTGTCCAGTAGTGATGTTCGATACTGCCAGTTTTCTTTCCGATACTGATACCAAGTAAAATTTGGCTGGTATCGGCGATACTGAGCCGATACACACAATGTGTCTGTTAAATCTTAAAAAGTACCGCTTTATAAATAATACATGACATAGTAAGTCATTTATTAATTTTAAAGTCTTTCTAACTCTAACCTTTTATTTGTTTGGCACAATTTAATATTCTTATCCTTAAGAAATATAATAATTTTTGAATAGTGAATGAAAGTGAGAAAAAATATTTTAAAAGTTGTTACTTTGTTTATTTTCTAGTATTGTTTGTGTGTTTGCAAGAAGGTCCTTGGCCAGAGCTAATGCTGTTTGGGGGACCATAGCATGAAAAAGTTTGGGAACCCCTCATCTAGAATGTAACTAGTCAGAAGAAGCAGATTTTATGTTAAAATGGCCTGCCATACATGTACGGACAGACGGTGCACGTGCCACTGTATTACTCAAGCAGAAGAAAAAGTAGTTCCCTCCAACCACGTTTAAGACAAGATTGGAATAGTTTAATTATTTTCCACTAATTTCCTGTTAATGATAAACATTATGTGAAATAACTAAAGTATAAAAGTATCGATATTTTGATTTTTGTATCGATTCTAGAACACAAACTTCTGGTATCGGTAGTATCAATATTTCAGTATCGATCTGCACAACACTACACACCAGCAATATAGATTGAGCCAAACTGACAACTAATTCAAATCTGAGATTTTAAAAAGAATAGTGATTATAATTACTAACAAACTGAGTACAATAAAGTCAGCATTTTCGTCAAGTTATTTACTGTCAGACTGATATGATTGCAGCCTTACCACAGAAAACAAAATGAGTCCAATTAAAATATACTGTATGTCACACACCAGAAAACAATATATTGTTTAAACGGGGCTGTAATGTGCAAAAACAAACGCATTTATGATCATTTTTAATGTGATTAAACTGCAATAAATTAGTTTTTTCATTCACTTGACTGTTGACTAAATTGTGATTGATGTGCATAAAACTATAAATTAAACTTAAAAATTCACTCTACTTAACAAGAAAGTGACTTTAAAAAAAAAAAACAACAAACCCGGTGAGTTGTGGAGGGTCAGTGTATCTTTTGGTCGTTGGATTTTTATTTTAGAAACGGGTATTAAAAAACAAGAATTGAGTGGATATTTGATTTTTTTTAAATACTGAAATTAAAATTAAAATACAAAGCATGTCTCAGTCTTAATGTCAAAAAGGGACAAAATTTTAACAATGATTTGAGTTTCATTTTCTGTTTCAGATAGCAAAAAAAGAAAATTACTTTAAGACATAAAGGAAAAAAAGGYTTKTTTTTTTTTTTTTTTTTTTTGTATCCTACAACTTATTTCCCCACGAGAAGGGGAGCTTGCCTGGCAGCTCTGCTTAATTAAACATTAATTTATGTAAACAAAAGGCTGAAACACAGAGAAATATGTCCATAAATGAGTTGTATGATGACTGTCGCTCTGTGACCAAAGGCTGCAGAGGTAATTCATGTGGCTTTTGGCCAAATACGTCTCTTTTACTGAATACATGTCGGCTACTTCCATTTCTCTCAATAAAAAGCTAAATAAGATAAATTTCATTGCATTATTGTGTTGTATGATTGTTGTTCTGTGAGTAGAAAGTTGTTTTTTTGTCCTGAGTTTTCCCATCCTGAAATTCAAAATCTGTAGTTTACTTTTTTCTCAGTTTGCATCCTTGGAGTTTTCCTTTCAGCGAAGAGTGGGCAGTACTACGACTTCGATATTGATCTGATACCAAATAAATACTTGGCAAAWATATTTGCTACCCAAGTCAACATCAATGCTTTTTACTTGTAATGGGATGTTCATTGAATAACTTTGATATTGCAGACACACCCCTCCTGGTGGTGAAACAGATTATTGCAGGGAGACAGTAAGTTGGCACGACCTGTCATAGATTATGAACAAACAAGCCTTTTTTTTTCGTTTCTGTCTTAAAGTAATTTTCTTTTATGCTATCTGACACAGAAAATGAAATTCAAATCATTTAAAAAAAATTTGCTCATCCCCTTTTTGACACTAAGAATGAGAAACGCTTTGTGTTTGAATTTTAATTTCAGTATTTTGAAACAAAAATCAAATATCCACTCAATTCTTGTTTTTTAATACGCGTTTGTTAAATGAAAAACCAATGACCAAAAGATGCACTGACCGTGGATGGAAGCAAAATAAACAATGAAATCCAGCGGATGGTTAGCTTCTGTGCTATCAGTTAGCTAACTTAGATGAAGAGAACAAACAAGCCTTCATGAGACAGATATATTCCGTTAAAAGAAACGTATTTTCCTAAGTCGATCCGCAGGTTTTCTCCTCGCACAGCCCTCAAAATGTGACTGAATGGAGGAAGACGAGCTCCGCTGTCTTCCTTGGGAGCACAGCTAAGCTAATGAGCTAGCAGCTAATGGACTAGCTGCCACGTTTTAAGCGTAAATTAATTCTTTTTAAAAGCAGCGAGGTGTTAAACATCTAAACGCTGACCTCCGAACCGATCATATAAAAGTCTCCATCCTCCTCGAGCTGAAATTTGACCGGCTTCTGGCCAAACGTTTTGCTCAGCGCCATAGTGCAGCGATTTAACAAAGCACCGAGTTCAGTGCGCATGCGCGAACAACGTTTCTTCGGTCGCGGAAGTATGACGAACAAATAATGCGTCTTTGCGTATTAGATCAATTTGTTTTTATTTTACAAGAAATAACGGATTAAAAGTAAAAACTTGTTCACGTAGGTCCTTTATTTTATTTTATTTTGTATGTAAAATTATCTTGACACAGATTTGACTTTAAATTTTCTTTTGCATTTCCATTATTGACCAAGCGAGGCATAGACATATACGAAGTCAATGTCTATTTTGTGTTTCATAATAATTGTATGGTTTTATAAAGATTATTACCGGATTATTATCAACGACACAAAATGATACTTTGTGTTTTAGTCCACACGAGACTGATTACAGTGATAACCCTCGTAATTCCATGGAGGTTTATATATGTGAATATATATGTAATTTGATGGTTGCTGCCCTCTCGTGGATGGTAAGGGAAACTACAAAGCAACAAAAAAAGAAAGAAAAATTAAGATGTAAAGATGTCGTTTTGTATAAATATTTTTTTGTACACGTAACCATTTTTATAGTTCTTAATTTTCGGGCATAATAAGTTAATATTTTGTACCACTTTTGACATTTTAGGATGATTAGCAGAAATTGGATGAAACCAGAGTTGTCGCCCTCTAGTGAGCACGGCGGAGAACTGCACCACAGATAATACACTTTTACTTCAAAAATCTGTCTTCTCACTTATAATTCAAAATTTATAAAGAAAAAAATATGTAAATTTCATTTTTTAAAGTTCTCTTTGTTCGTTCTTTTGGAGCTTGTTTTAAAGATTTACTTACATAGTAATAAATCCAAGTTTAACTATATATTCCATGAATGTTTTTTAATCTTAAAATGAAACAGAAAAAAAGCAAAGTCTATTTCAATTCTACAAACTTAATGTTTATTCGTATATACATGAATATATTAATCTATAACCAAGAAAAGGAGGACAAATGTACAATGGAAACAAAATCTCTATATACAAATCAATAAATAAAAACACAATCATGGACAGTTTGCTTTCTACACAGGTTTTTGTGTTGTTGGGGGGGGTTCAACAAAGATGACACAGCTGTTAGAAAAACGTTTGAAATCCTTCTGTTAGAATGGAAAATGGCACCAGAGCAGAAATCAGAAAACAAAATAATTGAAATACACGTCACACCACACTTGTTTCCAGTTTTTTAACTTCTTCCTGTAAAACAGCCACATTTACTTTTTTTTTTTTTTGTTCAAACTCGCACTGAAAAAAAAGTCAGTTGCAACACGACCAGTCCATCACATCGACTTCGCAGGGTCAGAAATTCATCAAGCTCCACCTTGACGAGCAGTCGGGTTACTGCAGGAGCTTTAATTTTTATAAATATATCCAAGCAAACAGCACTGTGATGCATTCAAGGACCCGCTGATTGAGTGGGAACTCTTAATATTGTCTGAAACTCGAGCAAAACTGAAGCAAACATTAAAATACTTAGTTCCCACCTTGAAATGTTACCAGAAAAATGCAAACTTTAAAGTTTATTTCATTGAAACATTTCATTATTTTAGTAAACTTGACCTGGGATGTTTTTGGTTTAAATAATCCCTCAATAAAACAAACAAAAAAAAAAAGCAAGTTTCTGCATCGACTTCATCTACAAACATGTTCAAGTTTTAACATTAAAATCTGGGTCCAGACTTATTTTCTCATCAATAGTGTTCTCATTATTTCCCCCACATTTAGTAAACATATAAAGTTTGTTTTTTTAATCTTCACTGTGAAAGGCGACGTTTTAATCCACTCACGTTTTTTTGGCACATGTAGGGTTAACACGAGCAAAGATGGTTGGATTTTCACTACGGTCAAACAGGAAGGGGAGTTTGGTTCACAGTGCTCGACGTGACGAAGGAGCAGAGGAGGAGGAGGAGGTCAAAGGTCACAGTGTTCAACAGTGAAGGGCTTCACAACAACCAGACGTCTCGTCTCCTGCTGCTCGCCAACATATTGCAAGTTTTTCTCTCCAAATCAGGGCTCTTCATCCGTTTCACAAAGTTAATTATGGACACAAAATATAAACAACAACAACAACAAAAGGCAATACTTGGTCCCAGCACAACAACTTAGTGTTTGGTGCAGCGATGTGAACAAAAATCCAACCGTTCAGGTGCTGTTAGTGATTCTCCCTCAACTAGACACATTTCCTACATTTCCCACAATGCTGCTTGGCACAAAACAAAAGAAATAAAAATTTTAAAAAAGTGTCAAACAGAAACGTTTGTCCCGTTGGGTGGAAAACAGAAGCTGCTTCGGTGTGAAGCGGAACAAAAGAAATCAGAAAACAGCCCTTTAAATCAAATCTAAACCAAAAACCTCTTGAATTATTTCACCAGAATAAAAGTAAAAAAAAGATTTCAGGTTGGATTTTTCACCTTTACAGAAAATAAGAAATTTGTTCCCTTTTTCATCTGCAGCTTTCAGTCGTTTAAGCTCTAATTCCTCAGATGTTTCTTTATCTGTTTGAAGCGTGGCACCAATAAAAACAAGGATGAGCCGCCATGTTGGAGGAACTCTGAACCGCTCCGTCTTTTTTTTCCTAAGGAAAGTTTGAATATTCTCACATACATCTTTAATATTTTATATTTTTTTAAAACAAAACGACTTCTAGAGTTTCTCCCCTGCAAAAGGAAAATCTGAATAAAAACAGCCCAATGATCGAATGAAGAAAAGCGGAAAAAAAAAAAAGATTCTGCCAAAAATGTTGTCGCAAAGTGAAAAAGACGTAACATGAACGTAAGAATTATTTACGTGAAAAATGTGTTTGTTTACCTGCAGAAATGACTGAAAACAGGTCAAACATCGGCCTAATGAAGGTTGATCATGTTTTGGTTACGTTGAGTGCAGACCCACATTTCAGAAAAAACACATTTGAACAAAGTGCAGCGTTTAAAGCAGTTCTGTTCCTTTTTATTCTTTGAAGTTAGGAACTTTAAACTCTTACATTTATTTAATCAGTGGTTTTTAAAAAGATGTTTTTTATTTATATGAAAACTATTGAAAAATAAAAAAGCTAAAATGAATCAAATTTTATTTCTTTGCTTTTTTATGATGGGTAGAGCAAATTAAACACATAAAAATAAATTTTTTTATTAATATTTAGACTTTTTTTTTAAATTATTGAGCTTTTATCAGTTAGTTTTGAACTTTTCCTCACATCTTTAACCTGTTTCCCCGACAGAAACGTGTTATAATTTGCGAGTTCGGGGTTCGTTCCAACATGGCGTCCGAGGAGAAGTGGCTGAAAGACGAGTAGCGGAGCCGTGCGAGAGCGGAGAGGTGAATGTACAAAGCAAAGTGGGAGGAGCCTATTAACAAAAACAAACAAAAAATCACAGAACAAACTGCACAGAAGGTGTTCGTTTCTATTTACACTCCGTTTGTTTTCAGTCCCGGTGAGCCGTCCTCCATGTAGTGGTTACGCTCTGTGTGTGTGTGTGTGTGTGTGTGTGTGTGTGTGTGTGTGTGTGTGTGTGTGTGTGTGTGTGTGT